ACACATGGCTTGTGTATAGTGTATATATACATATATATTATTCATACCTTCGGTGTATAGGACGCAAGCAGATTTTAACATCAAATTTTGAGGTAAAAAAGTGTGTCTTATACCCCGAAAAATATGGTAATATGTTAGTTTAATACATAGTTTTACCAGGTTCTGCAGGATTTATTCTGATTTAAATACTTTGTACTTAATCATTTGCAACTATTTACTTAAACAGTTAAATACTGAAAAAAATTAGTTATTAACCTCAGAAACTAGGATGTACATGTTATTCTTGTATATCTGACAAATGACATTTAATAAATACCTGAATACTTAAACATACATTTACAGAAAAATGTATTATGAATAGTATCACATTATAAATTCTATTGGAAAAATTATAACCTATATATCTGAAAAGCTTTTATTGTGGTCAGGAATGTTCATCATAATACTAAAACAGTTCATTATATGAGAGCTACATGCTAGATTTTCTTTCTGGTATGACTATGTTTACTACAATTATATAAAAAAAAAAAAAGAATAAAGAAAAACCTTTCAAATTAACAGCTGCTTTACACTATATGTTATTCATATACATAAATATATATATAAATACTATTAAGGAAAAACATATCTCCAAACTTACCTCTGTAGCTTTTTATGTCCTGTGATAAAGAATTCCTAAAAGTAAATGACACAAAGCTATATGCATAAATTAAATACATAGTGAAAACAGAAATTGAAAATAACCAACAATTAAACCTAAATTTACTGGATTAAACATGTTGATGTTCACAAACCTTAGCTAGTGACACAAGATATTTTAAAGCTATTCCAATTGAGTTGGCCTGGTAACAACAAGCAGCTGAAAGAACTGGTAACAAATAAAAAAATGTAAAAGATATATATCTATATTAATAGATGCCACTTAAGTGTTTTTTTTAAGTTTAGTTACTAAACTAGGTTATATGGCTACAAGCATAAAAGGTATATCAATCTTTTCATAACTGTACAAAACACACACACACACACTGACTCAATCCTAAAAGTTGGATTATAGATTTTCTGTGACCATACATTGTATATAAACGTTATTAAACTAGACATATTTTTGTAATTCATTAAAATTGTTTTCATATCTTTGACTTGTACTTTTCTAAAAAAAACAACTTTCAAGTATCTTTTTCATACAGAAATAATGCATTTAGCTAGCTGTGAATTTTCTTTGGTAACAGAAGTGCTAAAAGTTAAGGAAGTTTATTTCTGCTGTTCAGTGTGTCAATCATAATAATAGGCAACAGGACCATTCTAAGAATCACTTCTACAATAACCTAAATATGGCTTAAAGGTTTTGAAATTAAAATATACATCTGGCTTTAAACAATTGATGTAGTGTTGTTCAACTAAGTTCAGAAAATTTATATTTTTTGCTTTCATGATGCTAACCCTATATGTATGCCATATGGATAGATACATTAAAGAGTTCTATAGGGTGATTTTAACGAAAATCCATATTTAAAATAATTATGTCTTTAAAACTGTTTGTCTTGGGGGAAATATATTTACAAGAGAAACACTGATACTCATGATTGTTCTTCAAGAGATTTTGGACATGATACAGGGTGTTTCAAAAACTGTCACAGAAGGTGTTCAGAATGCTATCCATCATTCTCAATAAGCATGTCAAGACAATATCTAAATAAAGCTACTATGTGCATCATTTGTTCTATGCAGTGTTCACTGATCCTTGTAATATCTTACACATTGGCATACATTTTACTAAAATCACTAATATTATACTATTACGTCTCCGTTTGTTAATTAACTTTCCATAACTTCGTTCCGATGAAACTTTAGCGACACAAGTCCTTACTTAATAAAACTGGTTTATTCTTCCTGAATATAACTTCACGATACACTTGATTTCAACAGTCGCGCTAAAACAAACGCTATAACGAACGTTAACTTCAACAATACTTTCTCACTGCAGATCAATTACACACTACCTACACACACATTGTTGTCCTGTCACATTGTCACCCTCTTATATATACCAGACTACCCTATATCTACTAATCTCCCGACAATTCACGAAGGTACAATATATTTCCAGAAAGCAGGGGGCGTGACACTAGTCACGTGACCTCGCTGACGCAACACTGCCCCCTCCTTAATATTGTTCGGGACGAACAATAACCACATACAATAAACCAATAACAATTAATAATAACTTAATTAAATGTACAGAATTACAAACACAAAATTACAATTCAACAAAGTCTCTTAATTTTACAGGACGTATCTTCTTCCGTACTGGTCTCCGTCTCGTTGGCTTGTGCTTCACGTGGGGTTCATCTGCTTCCTCAGGAAATGTCCTATCATCGATAACAGTCCCATCAGTGGTAGTAACTTCATCAAGAGCTTCATCGTTCTTTCTCAAAACTGGGTAGAGTTTCTTCTTCGACTGTGGCTTCTTC